AAAAAAAAAAAAAGAATGGCTAAGACAAACCACTGGCTGAAAATATTTTCACAAAGGAAAAGGATGATAAATTTCAAGAAAAATACAATGGAAAACTATAATGAATTGAGTTAAAATTGCAAAAACAAGTCGACAGGATGATAAGGGACCTCTACAGGCACACTTTTTACTTCCTCCAATTCATATTCCATATTAACAAGAAACTGGTGTTTACCCCCTTCCCACTGCTTGAACAAATGTACCCCGTCTTCTAATCACAGAAATAATGCTGTTAGTTTTACATCTACTACTATGCATAATACATTACTGCTTAAAATAAAACTGGCTCTGAAAAAATTACAGCGACAGCATCTGCGAATACCAATCAGCTTTAGCTTTTGTTTTCTCAGAAGATGGGAAAACTAAGTGGGGATCTGGGCACTTGAGAACCACGGAGTATTTGTACATGCCATTGTGTCTGCCCTTGTGCATGACAGGAAGAAATAATTACTCAGGCTAAGCGTGTCTGAAAGTGAGAAGGGGGCAAAATTAAGAGAGAAAGGCTTAAAACAGCAGATGACAAAAATGTTTAAAACTAAATTCCCCTCCTAGTTGCTCCACTTCCCAAATTGTCAGCTTGTCAGTGCTCATTTCCTCCAGGAAGGTGATACCTTACGCAGAGGCTTATCCACGTACTAAAAGTGCCTTCATAGACCATTAACACCTAAAGAGGAAATGGTAGACAGCCCAGGCAGCAACTAAAAATGAGGAACCTAAACCAAGATCTAAGTGTTTTAGCAGATTGTTCAATGTTTAGAAGGATCTCCTATTAAGCTATTAAAATTGCATTTAAGTAAGACATTTCAGATATTCATATCATACAACATCTTAATTCTTAAACATTGCCCCTCAGCCTGTCTGCCAAATGTCATCACTGATCAGACTCCTTGTTCGTAGAAAGCTGCAGGACATACTCATCACGGAAAGCTGAGCGGTTCAGACTGTAACATAAAGGCATGCCTACGACATGTGTTATGCCTACAAAATACAGATTCTGTCAACCATTTACCCTCGTAATTACAAAGTCTCAAAATTTACCTGACGTTGTCATGATGAGGATTAGAAGTGGCGGCGGCAGACCCACCACGCAACACAGGTCTAAGGCAGGTTTTTGCGGGAGAAGGCACAAGACAGAATCAGGAAACAGAGAAGTAATAAAATGAAAGCAAAAAGAAGACAAATAAATGTCAAATTGGATTATATTGTATGTTTCAATACAATATAATATTTAATACTTTAAAAATCTTTGTCTCCTATGTTCTCCATTTTATGGTTTTCAGAACTTTAACACTTTACGATTGACTAAAGAAACAAAGGGAATCTGGGTTTATGCAGTAAAACAGCTCCAACACATATTCGTTTTGGTGCTTATGACTTACTTTATACCATTTAAGACAGAGGCTGTTTTAAAAGTGTAATTCCTCTATTCTAGTTGGAAAAAAATCACTAGCAACTTCAGAAGCACATCAGGAACGGGGTAACTGCACCCGCCTGGTCATGGCTGTTAATCTGACAAACAGTTCCATCTCAAAAACTAATCATTTCAAGAACTTGCCCTTTCTCGAAATTCCTTCTCTCTCACCTCATCCGTTCTGACTGGCACCTGCTGTCTCAATGTAGCTGTGCCTCATTCAAACTCTCAGCTCCCCAGAGGAAAGACACAGGCCTCAGCTCTGAAGCTGAGAGATCAGAGGCCAGGCGACAGCACATGAGTCTGAGCCAGGACAGCCAGGCCTGACAGGCAGTGCCTTGGGGGAATTTTCACTCAGTCCCAGCACTAGACAAGTAGTAACCTTTCCAATAAATTTTGTTTTTTTAAATCAGAAAACAAAAGCTCCATGTGTTCACTTGTCATTTCTCCCCAAAGTAATCAGTAATATTTACTAAACATAAAGGACATTGGGTTACAGGAACCATATAAAGATTTTAAGAATTATTAAATCCCATTTTCTCAATGTCTAATTCTCTAAGTAACTGATCTAGATTGGTCTGAATTTAAGTATCAAAGCAATAATTATAGCACATGCCATTTTTTCCTCTAAGTTGGAATAGCTGTAGAATTCTACCATACAAATCGCTGTTTTCTGACAACTGAAGTTTTAATGTTTATTTAGCTTCCACATGTCCCAAAGGTGCCTTTAGTACTTAAAGAATACATTTCTGAAGCCCAGAGGATAAGGGGTTCAAAGACTTTTGTTGACTAAATAAATCACATATCCTTGAGATGGGTTTTAAACTCATCCCATCCAACTAAAGTATTTATTCTGTGGTATTAGAAAAACTTACTTAACCACAACCTTAAATTATGCTAATATGAAAATGGCTAACTAAATGAAGCCACTGCTGTGTGCTTCCTAGATCTTTTTTTAAAAATGCACACTACTATGTTCAATTGGGTCTGCCATATTCTACATGTTCCACCACAGAGATCTCCCTTTATAATGCAGAGCCAGAAAATAATCCAGTTACCTTTCATAACGCATTTCATTTTGTCTTCTCACACTGGCAATTGACACATATAATATAAAAGTAAATTAGACAGGTATTTGGCAAAGTTAGAAACTTCATTCAAGCACCACTTTCTACCATACGTATGATTTAATACACATAAGAAGTTTTTTCAAAAGGAAGCTTTGTAGAGTGGCAAAGGGAAGGAAATCCATGGGTATCAGACACCAGCATTAACTTGTATACTGACATTTTTGAATAAATATATGAGTTAAATAAATGCTTCTTTGCTACAAAAATATAAACTGCTACAATAAATACTTTGAGACCAGCAATTCACATTTTTTAAAAGAAAAATTACAAATAGCATTGTATCAACTGCAACTTTGCACTATCTCAGTCTTCTAAGATCTATTACTAGGGATACTTGCCCAAAATATAAATTACTCACACATCAGTTTCTTATTCTATTCACCCAAAGCTAGTACAATCTGCCAAGGATAAACTGTGTAGAAATAATCAAGTCCTCCTAAAAATAAAACTTGAGCATGGGCTCAGCGCCTGTGGCTCAAGTGGCTAAGGCGCCAGCCACATACACCTAAGGTGGCGGGTTCAAATCCAGCCCGGACCCACCAAACAACAATGATGGCTGCGACCAAAAAATAGCCGGGCATTGTGGCGGGCTCCTGTGGTCCCAGCTACTTGGGAGGCTGGGGCAGGAGACTCACTTGAGCCCAGGAGTTGGAGGTTGCTGTGAGCTTGACGCCACGGCACTCCACCCAGGGGGATAGCTTGAGGCTCTGTCTCAAAACAAACAAACAAACAAACAACAACAAAAAAAACTTGAGCATGACCCATCTACCAATACTTGAATAATGCTATTATGTTTAGGAACTAAGTTTCTTTTTTATTTTTATTTTTTATTAGACAAGGGTCTGCATTATACTGCCTAAAATGGAGTGCAGGGGCTCTTCACAGGAGCCCCCACAGTACACTGCAGACTCAAGAGCTCCTTTCCCCCCACCCTCCACAGAGGCTGCGAATGTCACTGCACACCACCATGCCCGGCTTCTTTTTAAAAAATATTAATATTTTCCATTGGAGAATGAGATACATAGCTCTAACAGATATAGGTACTTCCTAATCAGCAAAGAAGCAATTGTAATAGCATTTTAATTTCCACTGCCACTGACCAAAGAACACACCTGGTGCTTTCCCCAAGTGTTTTGGTAAAATTTCAATATATTAGTTTTCCAAATGTCTAACAGTGACCTGTGTAAATAAACTCCCAACGTGTACTGAGGACTTAACTTGATTTTCATGTTGAGCTTGGTTTAGAATAGATCATCTAAGTTCTCATAAGAAAAAAATATATACGGTACATAAACCTATTGACAGTATCCTTTAATGTATCAACAAAAAATCACTCTTGTTAAACAACTGTGACTCAACCTTATTTTATGATAAAGCGAGCAGAAAGCTTTTGTGTCTTTCTGCCAAAGGGTTCTAGCTTAAATCAAGCATACCTTATATGTGATAAGACCAAAGATAAGATATTACATTAGCATTAGCAGCCAAGAGTAATAAACTAGAAAGGAAAAAAAAATGATTTACAGAGCAAGGAACATAAAGCACTTAAAGATTTTATAAGCAGGATTATTTTATAATCATGCAAGTAGAACATTATCCAAATTTCACATTCCTATTTCTTTCTTTCATCTTTTTTCCTCACCCAGGCAAGAGAGTGCAGCTCACAGCTCATAGCAACCTCAAACTCCTGGGCTCCAGCAATCCTCCTGCCCCAGCCTCCCAAGTAAGTGGGATCACAGGTGGACACCACCAAGCCTGGCAAAATTTTTTTTTTATTCTTAGTAGAAATAACATTTCACTCTTGCTCAGGCTGGTTTTAAACTCCTGACCTCAAGAAATCCTCCCATTTACATTCTTATTTCTTGTATCTGAAAAGTCACACTAAACACTCGTAGTAGAAATAAAAACTTATTTGGCACTTAAAATTCTGATCAAATCTTGTTCAACATTTAGATCATAAGAGCATTTGAATACAACTTTAAAAAAGAAAAAACCCTTTCAATGATGAAGGAAGGCATCAGTAAGACTGATGAGAATCTAGCCCTCCAGGCTCCAGGGTGACTAGAAATGGATCCAGGAGCAAAGTACCCTTAACATAGCAACTTCATGAATTTCAGAAATCTTAATTTAAGTAAGAAAAGATCATTCCTTCCCAGGCAGGGCATTTTTTAGTAACCAATTCACTATGATATTCAAAACTAAAATAAAATTTCACTCAAGGTTTTTCATAATAAGAAAATAGAAAGTGAAGTTTACATTAGTAAAATTTCTGATTTTGTATGTTTGGTCTTGACGCAAAATTTTTTTTCCATTAGGGAGAAAAAAAAAATCCTCCTTTTCACACATTCCATATCACATTACTGAACTGTCCGTGTGCTGAAGGGCTCTGTCATCCAGCTACTGCTAAAGCTGCACAGGATTTAGAAACATCTTCCTGGCTCCGATATTTTCACTGTAATAGCACTTTAGTAAGATACACAGGAGGATACCTGGGGCAGAATAAATCTGTTTTAAGAAGAAAGGAGAAAACAGGCCTTCGTAAACACATGTTCTTAAGGTGTCAGGTATTTTACAGTATCTTTTCAAAGAGCTCCTGGCATACTAAAGAATTTGAGGTTACTGTCCCTATTGCTATAAAGATAGAAAAGGGCAGAAAATTCCTCAAAAGAATCTGGAAAACTAGGTGTTATTATCTGCCCTCCTCTTTTTTTAACAGATGAGAAAAATGAGGCCCAAAGCAGCTCGGCAATTTGTTCAAGGCCCTCATGCAGCTTAAGTGGGTGGATCAAGACTGAATCTGACTGATCCACTGAATCCATGCTTTTTCTTCTGTACCTTGACACTTCTTACAGCTTCCAAACAGTCCAAGATAGTCTTTGAAGATTCCCAGAGCATAAAAGGGATTGTAAACCCTTGTATGGGGGGGGGCCAAGAAATATACATGTATATGTGTGTGTGTGTGTGTGTATAATTCCCTCTCACCACGAGAGTTCTCTTTAAGCTCTGTGTAGTTCAGCCCTGTGTCCAAATACATACCATTAGATTAACTCCAAGAAGGTTTAAAAAGGCATGGATCCAACCATGGTAAACAGTTAAGATTAGGTGCTCATGATGTACAGTGAAATACCTGGGGCCTGTGTGAGTATTAAAATCACTCAACAAGAAAAAGATTGTTCAGAGCAAGCTAGAATACTAATTGGTTCCTAAGGGAAGAAGTAAGATTTACTGGAAGGGCCAGCTTAATTTGTTGGGAGTTCCTTAAAATGTAAAAATTAACAATCTAAAAAACTAATAATAAAAATTCAAACCCCAATTCTCAGAAGCAACTAGATAAATATTCAGAGTTGAAATGAAACTTTCCCACACTATGCCAAAAAAGCTCCTCTAATTTCCTCTTTTTTAAGAATACCATGTAGGAACAAGGACAAAAAGTACTTGAAATAACTACAAAAAATTATTTATATGAACAAGTCTAAGTATGTTATGATTTTACTTGGAGATATTCAAAAGTGAGATGTTACCAATACTGAAAAATATCAGTATTATTAAAAAGATAATAGCTCCTGGGATTTTCAATATAGGCCTAGAAATCCAAAATTAAGGAGGAAAGGGGAACAATGTCCTGGCAGCTACACTGACATCACCGTCTTAGATCTACTCAATGAATCCAATCGAATTCATATCATAAATGGTTAAATCAAAAGACTTACTAAAGAAAACTAGTATGCTTCAGCCCAACATCCCACACTCAATCCAACAGTGTCCCTCAGCATACCCCTGAATGGACCCAATCACTTAGCACAGCCTTGGAGAAAAAGCCTTCTCCCTTCCATACATAGTTAGTAAATAGTCTCCTTAACAAAAAGAAAGCTAATGTAGTCCCATGAAATGTGAATTTTGGACAATAATTTCAAATTAAAAGAAAGCAAAGCAAGCTACTTCAAACCATTGCATCTTAGAAAGAGATCAGAAGGTGCAAACGTAAAAGGAAGACACCACAGTCCACTAGATAAGAAGCCAAAGAGTATGCAACACAGCCAGCAAGAGTCACTGACAGCCAGTCACCTGCGAGTGTCATCCAGCACATCCAAGATCTGCTGGTAAGCCCTACGAGTGGAAGACTGGATAAGCGACAAAATGCCACGAGCAGAGGAAAGATTAGCTCCGTCTTCAGGTAACATATGGGGAGGACAGACCCGAGCCTGTGGTGGCGATGGTGTCACACTGTTTACACAAGCACAGCAAACGAAGAGAAAAACACTCACATCAGATATTTATAAAACTTCAGCTGAGCAATTTTTATTTTACTTTTCTCAGTTTGTTAGTTTTCTTGCCCCCTTTCCCCCACCCCTTACTTCCCCCCCGAAAATAAACAAATCAAAGAATAAACATTTTGAATTGTTTTCAAAAACTAGCTACAAAGAAGTACTTGTACTTCTGCAACCCTACACATCAAAATTAACTGAAATGAACGAACAGCTTTGGAAAAGAGAACTACAGCAATGGATGTGTTCCACCCCGAACTGAGGAGAAGCTGCCTTCTTTGTTTAGAGTGTATACTCCCATTCAGGGAACCAAACCTCCACGAATAACACTGCAGACAACTTATGGATGAGCAGATGAGCAGGACAGGGAATTCTGGTACATGAGTGTCAAAGTTTAATACGTGAACCAAAAGTGATTCCATGAACCCACCATTTAAAATACTTCATAAATAAAGACAATGAAGCAAGCAGGGTATTTATAATGAGGAAACGACATTGATTTAAAGATGAACTAAAGACAGAAAGCTGTAACAAAAGCATGTTGCTTGTTTCATTGTAGTAAAGCATATGTACTCCAGTTAAGTGAGTAAAACAGAAAGCTAGTCCTAATTCTGTGAATACATATAGGGAAAGAAGGCAAGGAGACTTCTGAAAGTGTCTTGAAGGCTGATGAGGAATGGTCCTCGCAGTGACAGAAACGTTCACGTTCTGTCATGTGTAGGCTGAGATTCACGATTTCTGTTGGCTCCTCTGCCAGTGCTTCTGAAAGCTGACCATATTTGAAGGAAGCAATTTTCATAGCTCTAACCTAAACTCTTAAGATCTGTGTATAGACTTGGCATCTGTATTGTTTCATTAAATGGACTATGGCATTAGGATGGGGCCTCAA